TCCTCTGAACCCTCTCCAGGCTGGCCACATCCCTCTTGAAGTGCGGTGCCCGGTACTGGACACAGTACTCCAACTGCGGCCTGACCAAAGTCACATAGAGGGGAAGTATCACCTCTCTGGACCGACTCGAGATGCACCTTTGGATGCATGACAAGGTATGGCTGGCCTTGCTGGCTGCAGTCTGGCATTGGTGGCTTATGTTCATCTTGGAGTCATCATTGACTCCCGAGATCCCGTTCCGCCTCTTTGCTTTCAAGAGGGGAACTCCCCAGCTCCTCAACATTGATACTTACCTACATGCAAAAGATTTTTACAGCATTTGGTGGAAATGCTAAGTTCTAGTAAATCAGCTGTTGGTTTTTTCTTGAGTGTTTTTGGCTGTTCAGGTGTTCATGAAGCCTTTGGCAGCAGCTGTGGTTTACCTATGAGTGGAGAATTACAGGTCTTTTACCTGCTTTGATGACTAGCTAATCAAAGGCACTGCTTGTGGAAGATGTTCAGAGACTAGTGCCAGGGTGTCATGTCCAGGGTTCCATCAATTGCTTCAAATTTCTAAGGCAGACAAGGTTCCTTGGGTGAATTTGATATCTTTTATTAGACCAACCCAAATAGTTGGAGAATAGTTATTAAGCAAGCTTTCGGGTTCAAAAACCCTTCGTCAGGCTAAGGAAGTTTCAGCAGTTGGTGTGTGCTCTTCCTGGATGGAATGAAAAGTAAAGAAGCCAGAGGCTGGGCTGGGGAGTCATTTGCCAGGCAGATTATAATGTATCAAAAATCCAATGTCTATGTTTAGTCCATGATCTCTAGTATCCAGGAGGTTGATGAAATGGAGCTCATAGACTTGTCTCTGGGAAGTGTTGTGTAAGTTTCCCTTGAGGATCAGGACTGAGAGATTGGGGAGAGAGTGGCCCTCCTGTGAGAAATGTGCCCCCTCCCGGTAATTGAGTATTTCTGTCTTCGATAGATTTCCGGTGTGCGTTCATTCTGGTGCGCAGTTGCTGTTTGGTCTCTCCTACATATTTTCCATCAGGGCATTTGGTGCATTGGATAAGGTATATTACTTAATAACTATTCTCCAACTATTTGGGTTGGTCTAATAAAAGATATCAAATTCACCTAAGGAACCTTGTCTGCCTATGTCCTTAGACCAACACGGCTACAACCTAAACCCCTGCAACATGGAAGATATCAAATTTCTAATTTATTTCCATCTGATAGTTGGAATACAAGTTTGCTAGAAAGAGCTCAACTTCTTTTGAAGATTCAGGACAGAGGTTAAGTCAGTCTGTTAAAAAAGATACAGATAAGCCTAAGCCAGCAGTTAACTGCTAAAGCAATTTCAGGTTTAGTGGTTTCCAACAACAGCAACAGCAGGCATGTCTCCACCTGAATGGATCCTGAAATACCTGGAGAAGCAAGTTTCAGTGGGACTATACTGCATTCAGGAAGTTCATGATGGGAATGTAATTTGAATCCGACAAAAATGTGATGGCATGGATGCATCTAACTTTGTATGGGAATAGAAAGCCAGGGAACTATTTTAAAGAGCAGCAGTTGCCCAGACTTTGAGGATGGCTGCATATATCCTTAAAAGCCTGATTATTCTAGAAAGAAAAACAAAACAGAAAAAACAGCAGAAGTTATGTAAACTGATAAGATTTCTATAATCCACTTAAAACAAGCAACAAGGTTCAGCACTAGTTTTTCCTTGGAAGATCTGCAAGTGAGAGACTTGGCTTTGTTCCACAAACCGTATTAGTCATGACGTACATGGCAGGTGAAAAGGTGGTGAACAGTCAGAGTGAGCTTATCCTTAATATATATTGATGAATGGTCTTTAGGTACATCAGTTCTTTCATTGTGTTGTGTGCAAAGCACAAATTGCTAGTACTGATGACAGGCAAAGCTTACCACAGGCTTCAGTTCAGGGTAGAGCAAAAAATCCCAACTTACCTCAATTGTTGATGCATTCTCTTTGTACACCTTGCTACCAGTCACTTTGTTAGGGAAGTAAGTGGCAAACCTTATCTGGGTGTGCCAGTAAAATCTGTGTGTATTTTATTTTATTTTTTAGTCAGTTGCATGTGGTCAAAGCTAGTATTATTTGTCTGGGAGACTA